TAAAAACTATTCTAAAATGTGTGCTGTGAAAAAACCATTACATCCAAATTTATCTCATTAATACTAAATAAAAATAATATGGTTTAAATTACAATCTACCCACTAAATAATAAATAAAAACTAATATTTATCAAAAATAATCAAATGAATCAATTCAATAATTTATATAAGAACATCCTTTTATATGTTTCAGACTCAAATTCAATAGTAATAGCAACTTTAAAAACTTTAGTTTTATTATTATTCCTATTTTTGATCATTCAGTTCAACAATAAACTGAAGATAACAGCATTTATAGTAACCAGAACTATTAATTTCCATATTACAAAAAATAAAATGTTAAATAATTGATCAATTACTATTTTCTTATGTTGTTTCCAGCATAATGGTCTCTTCATTAGGCAGTGGTTGATGTTTCAGTACATATTTTATGAATATTTTACATTATTTTACAGATTTATAATATATTATTTTTCATTACATGTTCTGCAGTTMTAAATCCTGGACGACACCTGGAAAGTTATTTTTAATGTATTTTTTCCAGAGGGTGAATGCGCATCATGTTTGAATTTACTTCCTAGGTCCTTGACATCGTTTGGACTCAGATTCCCATACTTTTAGTTTAGCTGCGTRATTTCTTATTTACCCGGACGGAGCTGTGGGTGGCTACAGGTTTCACTTAGCTCCCTCCTCCCCAACAATTTGATTGGGATGTATTTTATCCTATATTGATTTGGAAACCGTGAGTCACTTTTTTCGTTTCCACAATCAATAACTGGTAAATATACAGCCGCAGAATAAAATGCGCATTAAATAATTTTATTATACAACATAATATACATAATATTAAGTACTTTTGAGTATTTTATTGTTGTTTTACATAGGTGATATACAATAATACAATCTATGAAAATAAAAATAAAATTTTAATTATATTCAATAATATTATATGTTGGTTGTTTCTATAAACAATCCAATAAGGTACAATTATTATAGTGTCGTCGTATTCCAAGAAAACGGGAAAGAAAATCAATATTGACTCAAAAATTAAAAACAATAATAAATCTCAAGACAAACTCAACACCATTTCTCCTCTTCGAAAATAAGTTTATCTAGCTTCTATCATATTTATCTAACCATGATTATAATAATATATACACTTACTGTACATGTATAACCCCACYTCACCCACAAAAAAATGAAAAAATATAAAATTGCRCTATATACGATAAGGTAAGTATATTATCTTGATTTTTTGTGATATTTTTTTACAGTATTTCAGTTTATGATAAAATTTTAATTTTTCGATACAATTGTTAACCCAACTTTCTTGTATTAACTACTGAAAGACGTTGAAATCAGTGGTTGAATTGGAAAAAAAATAAAAGTGGACTCTAAATGAAGTTTAAAAATTAAGCAAATTAATTTAATAGTAACCCTGTTTCTTGATAAATATAGGTATAATAAAGGGGTACGCCATGATTTGAAGAAAAATGAAAAGTAGCTCTCGGTCCCCCTGAATACTCCCTCAATTCAACCACTGATTGGAATTATTATTAATGTAAATTCAAAATTTTATTTAAACTTTCTTTTAATGTGTGTATAATAATAAGCTATATTTATATACTGCAGCATGTAAATTTTGGATGTATACGTGGAAAAATTAAATAATTTTGGTTCTAATCATTATTTTTAAATTTTTTTTTTTTATGCCAAAGTATACAAAAATATGAGTTACATTATAATGTATAATTAATTTTTAATTTTTTAATACTGAAAATAAAAAAAAATTAATCTAAAATGTACATTTTTTTTATTGAATAATTTGTGAATCTGGGGTTTATAGGAATATTTAGCTGYAAAGACATTCATTATAGTCAAGTGGCTTATTTTTTACAACCAAGATTCATTACTTTTATGTAAAGTTGATCTTGTTGTAACGAGAGTTGCACTCTCAGACTTTTTTCTGGGTAATGGTTTAAAGTTATATCTCTGCAATGTTTTGAAAACATTTTAGGTTCAGAAAATGATTATTCAAGTTGCGTTGAAATGTTTCAAGCTTCTAATTTCTATAGGCAATACTTTTTAAGTTACAACAAAAAACTAGAATAGTTAATCAAAAATCGTTAATTACCACATAAATAACTAATTCACCAAAATTAAAACATCAGATTTTTATAAAACGATTTGCGGAATCGCTGTTAGTCAATTTATTTTGCTGGTTGTTGTGGGGTTGGATCAATAATAATAATAATAATAATAGCAGTAGTAGGAAACCTGTGGAGGGTGCGCCGACGCATCCACTTCCTCCACCACCAAAAATAAACGTTGCCACCCCACTCAAAAGTTATTAGACTATCAACTTTACATATTCAACTAACATACATACCTACCTGTCGACTGTCTCCATTGATTTTGTCCTACCGTTCTCGTAACAGTCGTCAGCCGTGAGCCATGAGAAGCGGTCTATATTATCGTCGCCTTTATTTCCCTAGATACTAATTTCATTCAAACCACCTACCAATATACTTACTTTATTTTTTTTTTTTTTCAAAAAAATTGGCCAGAAGGAATTTTAAATTTTTTTCATCCGTTTTTGTTAAATTGTTTTTACAATGAACTGCTCAAATGCTGTTCTTGTTACCACACCGAAAAACTGCAAAAAGCTCAACTTCAATTCCTGCGTGATGTGTTTGAAGTCAAAAAAAAAAGGTTATAACATTTCATTGCACAAGTAAGCATTATATTCAATATTGTATTAATTATTATATAAATGTCGTTACCTATTATACATGCGTCATTCGCTTATTTTATTTTGTTTATTAATGAATACCCATTCATCTTTCACAAAATAGTGATCATTTAACGTTATCCCCATTTCCGTTTTCCACCGATATTATATTCTAATTTCTACCATACAAAAAAATACCTATTAACTTTTAAGTCAAAATCTGCCACGGTGATAACGGTGTAGGATCACTTTAACGGAAAATATTTACGACTGCAAACCAATATATAATGTATAATCATCTATTGTCAGATTCCCGAAAGACCCCAACAGACGAGCAATTTGGCTAGCAAACTGTAACTTTGTTGAAAAAGATATTGAACATAATAGAATGCTGTGCTCTTCCCATTTTGAAGAAGATTGCCTACTACAGCATAGCAACAGAAGAGTATTGAAGAAATCCGCCGTGCCTGTTATTTTTGATGAGAAAACAAAAAGAAACAAAAAGCGAAGTCAACAATCCCAATCTTTACAAAAAACAGGTAACATTATAACTTATTCACCTGATTATGGATTTAATACCAAATAATTAATTATTTATTTTCATTATAAAGTTGATTGGTCTGCAGTTACAAATAGTAAATGCAAAGTGTATTAAAATTTTTATCCCAGCGTCAACGTATATTTTGGTTAAACCAATAATTGTTCAAAATCCTATTTCCATGACTCATATTAAAGATATTCAGACATCTGGGCTTTCAGGTTATGCTGTATGTTGTAGTTATTGATTAATAACTGAAATAAATGATTATTATTTTAAAAAGTCAGTTATTTTTGTAATAACGCAAAGGATCTGTATTGTTCTCTACTCTTATAAGAGCTGGAGAATAAGCTACCAGATATAAATATTAAAATTGCGCTATTACCTTCCTCCTGATCGTCGGAGGGTTCTCGAGGTCGTGATTCGAGAACGATCAAATACACCGTAGTAATAAAATATTAATTATTAAATTA